TAATATATGATGCTGCTATATAATGTTTCTCATCTGAAGTGTGAGATCATTCACCAGCAATCTCATGGAAAATAGGCATGTCTCTAAGAAAACTAGAACAAAACAAACAAAGGGACAGCAGTGGTTGCAGACTGGGCATCTGAGTTTCTTAGTCATGATCATTAACATGTCTGAGAATAAGCCTCTACATAATGGAAGGGTGAAAAGAAGCCCTTCATCTGTGGACAGGCCAAAAACTAGGAATTAGAAATTCCAGCAAAATGTCCTGAAGTTGTTCCACTGCTTTACAGTAGCTATCTTTAAGGTAACAGGGAATAGAGTAGGCACATGAAGACAAGAGAGCAATAATCGCCTTATAACCCATGCTGTCATTATGCTTCTTATTTTCTCTATTTACCCCTTGGTTGATTTCTAGTTCTGCATTTTGAGAAAGACCTTAATAAGCTGTAGCCTTTCTTAGTTGTTCAAAGGTGAAACAAAGGGAAAGGAGTTATGCATGCATTTGGGCCAGAGGATGTCACCATGGTGGTAGAACGAATAATCAAACAGAAATAACCCCAAAGGGGAAAGTGAAATTCAAGGGGTAAGAAAGAATTTGTTTATCCTCTCCATCCCATCCCCGCCCTCAAAACAAACAAAACAAAACAAAACCTAGAGTACTCCATGGCTAAACCTTGGGTGTTAGAAACCTGGGTTTCTACATGTTCTTTCAGAACAAAATGGAAATGCTACTTCATATGCTACCTTAAAGGGTCTTCACTCAAACTACTGGGTAAAGGAAGCAGACACACAATATTACTGTCTCACTTTTTCAGAAACAGTCGTCCCTCAGTATTCATAAGGGATTGGTCCCAGGGCCCCCAACAGATAACAAAGTCTACTGATGCTCAAGTCCCTGATAAAAACAGTGTAGTATATGCATATGATCTACACACATCCTCCTGTATACTTGAAATCACCTCTAGATTGCCTAAAATATCTAATACAATGTAAATGCTATGTAAAGTTATATTTTATTTTTTATTTATTTTATTTTTGTTATTTTTTATTTTTTAAATGTTTCCAAACATTTTAGATCTGTGACTGGTTGAACCCAAGGATGCAGAACCCACAGATATGGAGGGCCAACTGTATTCTTAAACTTCAAAAAATACAGAATTTACCAGATTTTCAGATAAGCCTAGTTCGCAACTAGGTGATTCACTGTGACATAAAGATTTATTTGATTCTAATAGGATCACCCCTCAGAATAAGCCCTTTCTCTTTCCTGGACTAGGAAAGTAAATTTACACACCACAAAATGTTTCAACCCAATTTTTAAATTTAAAATGTGTCAGTTTTGATCAATAATTTAAATTAGATGTGGTCACTTTGGTTAATTTTGGGTGGAAATGAGTACTGAATGTTTATTCTAGACATCTGGGCCTTATTCTTGGTTCTGCCATTTATAACCCTGAGCAAATTATTGAAACTCTCAGTTTCCTCATATGCACAAAGAGGGAGTTAAGCTATACAACACTAATTCCATGGAAGATACTTTTTTTTTTTCTTTTTTGAGAATCTTGCTCTGTCACCCAGGCTGGAATGCAATGGCACTATCTCAACTCACTGCAACCTCCCCTCCTGGGTTCAAGCAATTATCTTGCCTCAGCCTCGCCAAGAAGCTGGGATTACAGGTGCCCACCACCACACCCAGTTAATTTTTTTTTGTATTTTCAGTAGAGATAAGGTTTCCCCACTTTGGCCAGGCTGGTCTCGAACTCCTGACTTTGGGTGATCCACCCGCCTTGGCCACCCAAAGGGCTAGGATTACCGGTGTGAGCCACCACCATGCCCAGTCAGAAGATACTTTTTCAAAAATATAAACACAATTAATTAGGTACCCTGTGACATGTTTCTGTTAAAAGCAAACAAACAAAGGACGGAGATGAAAAAAAATTCAAAATGTCCAGAGATCAACCTTTTGAATCTTTCTCCTGTGAGAATTTTATATTTCCAGTCACAGTGATCAGGGATATCATCCTAAAAGGGAATGTATCACTGAAGAGAGAAAACAAAAAGGCCAAGTGAGTGATACTGTTCTCTAGATAAATTCAGGGTTAAATTTCTTCTTCCCATGAAGTTATTCCATGCATATGACAAAATCTCACAAGGTACCTTTTAGTGTATTATTTAAGCATAACCACTATACTGTAATCCCTGAAACATGTAAGTTCAAATCAGCAAAATCTAATACTTTGTATGCGACTTACTGGCCATTGAAGAAAAAAAATTATTGTAAGTCTGCCAGGTAGCTACTTTTGAAGTTATATTTTAAAATATTGATTTTTATAGGGATTCTAATGAAGATTTAAAAAGACGGGAAAAAAATGCACTTAAAAATAATGTAAACTTGAACAGGCTGATTTACACAGATCTTCTGTACCCCCCTGAAGATCATCACATTTTCAGAATTCTAAGTTTTCAGCACTAAATATCTCCCTAATCTGCTATTTTAGGTGAAGCCAATAGAACTGATTTAATGATAGGGTTTCCATGTTTTAGCATCTATTTTTTTTAGGTTCTACAAGTAAATAAGTACATAGATTTGAATACTAAGAAAAATGGTTTGGGCTAGGTGTGGTGGCTCACGCCTGTGATCCAAGCCCTTTGGAGGCCAAGGTGAGTGGATCACCTGAGGTCAGAAGTTCAAGACCAGCCTAACCAACATGGTGAAACCTCGTCTTTAAAGAAAAAAAAAAATTTTTTCTTAAATTAAAAAATGGTTTGTCAGTGACAATAACAGAGAACCCCAAGTATAGGAGCAAACTCAGGATATAAGAACTAAAATGAGTGAAAGCCCTTCTGTGAGAAATTTTCCTTCCAGTGCTCTTTTTCTGCCATTAAACCTTTGTGACTATAAATTTTAACATGGTAAGAAGTCCCTAATTAAAGACCTAGTAAAAGCCACCTGAAAGCCTAGGAGATCCTCCTGCCTAGTCTGTTCAGGACCTAGCAGGAATTACATGAAACTCAAAATTCCCAGAAAGATACTAGCCCCACAGATTACAGTACTACTGCCTTTATGAGTCACTGCCACACACAGGCAGCACAGACTGGTGGGAGAAACATAAAACAATTTGCAATACGAAGTAGCAAATGCTACAATGTAACACTGCTGAAGATTTGTAACAATTTAACAAAGCAAGGTGGGACTCAAGCTTCTGTAGAGGCCCTGCCCAGAGAATTCTGACTGGCAGGGGCATTCCAAGGTCAACTGCATTAGACTTCACGGATAACATCTACAATCTGGTGCACTCCTTGGCAATACAGTTAAAGAGAAAAATAAAGCCTAGTTCCCTGCCCTGAAGAGCATAAGAGACCAAAGAAAACAAAGTTATCATGCGTTCGGGATCCAAAAAAATAAGACTAATCTTTCCAGAGCAGAAGTCATGTCAGGAAGGAGTGAAAGACTGAGTTTGTAAAATTAAAATATAACTAGTGTGAAGAATCAACGCTCAATCTAATGAGAAATGGAGAGACAGGGAAATGAAAGAGCGATCCAAGGTTATTCAAGACACCCTTGTGGGGTAAAGAAACTGAGAGGAGAGATTCCTATTGAACAAAAACAAAACTGAAGACGGTGAGTTTTCAACTCTGCAATCTGTTACGCCAGTGCTGTTCTTCGAAAAAAACTATAGGTACAATAATGCGTTAGGGTTAAAGGAACCAGGCCGGGAGCCAAGCCCTCTGTGCTCAATATTCAACTCCATCACTTTCCGGCTATGTCGTTTTTGAGGAAGTTACTTAACAGCTCTGTGCCTCAGTCTCCTCACCTGTAAAATGGGGTGGATGAGTGCCTTTAAAACCAGGAGGGGCTTCTTCAAAACACAGTTGTGATTACATCTCTCTACTGATCAAAAACTGTATTCACAAAATCAAATCCACATCTTTCGCGAACCATATCGATCTTGTATAGGGTCTGCAAGCAATATGCGCTTCCATGTCTCATCTCCGGCAGCTCTGTGCTAGAAAGCCTTTTCCTTACCATCTTACTAAGTCCACTTTAGGAAATTAACTCTCTCTCCCATTCCACTGTGCACTCGTCTGTTCCTCTGTACGGTTTAGCACTAATCCCCCAGGTTTTGTTTGGTCTTTTAACGCTCACTCTTTCTTCTAAAGGCAGTAATTTCAGAGAGCCAAGGCAAATCTTTTTCATCGCTGTTCCTACACTTCATCCCAGAATGTGCCTGTGCAAGCCTGGGAAAAGCGTTACTGAATTAAACCGGATGATTACTACCGTAAAGGCCGCAATTTCAGAAACTGCCTAATTTCGCATAATTTCACATTGCTTTCAAATCCTGAAAATCTTCACACGAAAGGCCTCTTCAAATCAGAACACCATCCTTTCAAGAAAAGTTCTACCGAGCACCCCCACGAGTTGACAATGCGGTCATTCTTAGCTCCAGAAGTTGTGTGTGCGCCGCGGAGGGCAGCTGCACACTGGTCAACACTGTACTTTGAAATAAGGGGCAAGAAGAGGCGGCTCCGGAGGCAGCGAGGGCTATGCTCCTCTCTGCCCTCAACTTCCTACGGGCCCGCGGGCTCCGGCCGCGTTCGTCCCTCTCCGCCGCACTCCGTTCCCAGCCCTCGCCTCCCCTGGTCCCGCCGCAGCAACACCCCTTCCCCGGAGCGGCGGCGCGGATCGCGCTGCAGTTCCTCCCGGCGCTCCGCTTGCCCGAGTCCTGGCCTGCCACCCGCCCGGCCCGCGGCCCCCCGGCCTCTCCCCAGGCCCGCCGCCCGGGGCCCAGGCCGCCGCCGCCGCCCAGAGGGGAGCTGAGGGGACTCGCTCGGCTCCGCGTGGCGCCGGGGGCGGAGCCGGCCCGCAGGGCCCGCGGAGAGGCCGGGGGTGGACTGCGGCCTCCGCCTACCCCGACACGCACCCCGCCGCCCCCAACCCGACCTCCTTGGGGCCCCGGCCCGCGCCCGCGGCCCGGCAGCCGGCGAGACTCGCCACTTACCAGCCCGCCTGGGACAACGCCGCGCCGGGGACCTCGGCCATGGTAGCTGCTTAGGCCGGGGGTGGTGGGGGGGACTAGGGTGGGGGTGGTGGGGAGGCCTCCTACTTGAGACCCCCCCCTCAAAAAAAAAAAAGAAAAAAGAAAAGAAAAAAACTCCTCTGGTCGGCTCTGCAACTGGGCATGCTCAGTGCGGCCGGCGCTTCCGCGTGCGGGTTCCGCTCGCCGCGTTTTCTGAGCGGCCGTAGGGGCCGGCCTGGTGTGGGGCTCCCAGGCTGCGGAGCTCCGGGGCCTGATCCACCAAACACGAGCTGGGGGCGCTGGAGTCTGAGGACCGCTGAGGGACTTTGCCTCTTCACCGAAGGTTTTTACTTGTTTTGGGGGCCACTTTTCTGAGTTGCACACCTTGGAAAGTCGTGGGGAGGTTCTTCGTAGAGCAAAAGTGTGGAGTTTGCAGCGCCGACAGGCGGTCACCTCAGAGAGAGCAGGATGAGGCCAGAGACGGAGAGCGCGTCCAGGACGGCCCTAAAAAGGCCACGTTTCGGGCAGTAAGACTCAGAGGTGTCCCCAGCCCATTCTGCACAAAAGTTTACTTTCTTATAAAGATTCGTTCCCTTCACCTCGCCTTTTGGTTCTCCCGGACGCAAAGAAACGAATGAAGCTCAGGCTTTGGTGAGTCCTCACGGGCAGATCGGGTTGAAGCCGGACACCACAGTGAAAACGACTGGTCAACCCAAGAAAACCTGCACTTCGGAGATATGGGGAAAGGGGGCAGTTGTGTCAGTGCTTGTTTTTCCTGTTGCCCTCCACGTGGGACCGTCCGTGTCCCAGCGCGGCCTGTACTGTGAGGCCTGGCGACCACGGCCGCCTCGCCGCAGGTGCCCATCGCCAGCTCCCCAGAGGGCTGGGGCGCGGAGTGGGTCGCTGAGTGGGCATGCGCGGCGGCGTCGCCGAGCGGCACCGCGGACGCTACCCCGCGATTGGACGTCTGCGACTCACGCTGGCCAATCAGGGAGGAACCGGCGGACGGGTTCGCGGGCCAAGGAGGCGCTCGCTCCCTAAAAGTTTGCCCCACCCTCTTGATCTTTCACTTCTGGGGCGTCCGGTAGGTGAGGGAAAAGTACGCTGCTGAGGGGCACTGTCCCCATCTGCCAATTCGAGGGAAGAAGACTTAACCCCTATCTCCGCCGCTTGCCACCCCAGCTTCATCTAAGGGCATCATCAAAAACAGACTTGGAGCAGAGTCTGCGGAACTGGGCAGAGGCACTCTTGGGATTGGGGAGGCAATTGGCAGTTACAGAAGGAAGGGGATAATTGCCCTGGGTGGAGCTAAAATTCCTTAATACAGGTTTTTCTCCTTTCAGCTGCGGTATTCCGTTTGGTCTTCCTAAAAGTCATAGGTTTTTCTCCTTTCAGCTGCGGTATTCCGTTTGGTCTTCCTAAAAGTCATAGTTATAAAATCGCGATGCTTTCCTTACATAGAATGCTATTGAGATTTGCTCCCAAGCATTATTGTTTAGATAAGTTTACATCAGAACTAGCTCCATCCTGTTCCCTGCAATGTATGGCAGTATGCAGTGTTTAGGTCAGATGTATGCTACAAGTATATTTCCATTTATAGGCATTGACCATCATTTACAGGAGCCAGGAATAGATTTGCCATTTTAAAGGTAAATAGATGACTCAAAAATAAATAGCCAACAATTTTTATTGGCTGTTAGAATTTTTTCTTACCAAATATTTACATTTTACAGTTAATGTAACTTGTTAACTATGAAAATGATACGTTGTCCCAATCATCAGAATTTCTCACTGGTTATGAAGCCGTTTGTGCTCACATGCAGTGTAATTCAGTAAGGATTTACCACTGCTTGGTGCTCACAATAATAAAATACTTCACAAAACACTAAATTCCTTTAAAGAATGAGATTCCCACTGGAGAAGTTTGGGACAACAGAGCATCCAAAAAATGGTGACAATAATTGATGAAACACTTTGGATTTCTTCGGAGTGCCACGAAAAATGAAAGGAGGACAGGACCTTTTCTTTCAGAGGGAAAGATAATAAATATAGAACAAATGATAGAAAAATCACAATTTTCCAAGTCAACCACAATTGATTCAGGGAAATTTATCAGAGGATACTAAAAGCCACAAGGTGAAAGACTAGGAGTGCAGGATCTTCACATCTTCACTTGGTCTCAAAGTATCAAGCCATAACTTGCTTATTACAGAAGAGACAATGTACCTTTACCTTTAAAAAAAAATCACTGGCTTAAGAGATCAAAGCTAGAATCACTAATAATGGGAAAATCTAATGTAATCTGCTTACAGATGTCATGCAACTAGACATACACTTCACTGAAGAAGTATTCTTTGACACCTGTGATCCCAGCACTTTGGGAGGCTGAGGTGGGTGGATCACAAAGTTAGTTCAAGACCAGCCTGACCAATATGGCGAAACCCCATCTCTACTAAAAATACAAAAATTAGCCGGGTGCAATGGCAGGCGCCTGTAATCCCCATTACTCAGGAGGCTGAGGCAAGAGAATGCCTTAAACAGGGAAGGCTGAGGTTGCAGGCAAGAGCAAGACACCATCTCAAAAAAAAAAAAAAAAAAGGAAATATTCTTGCCAAAATTGTTTAACCTGAATTTAACCAAGCTTCTGGACCCTGGATCCTAAACCAACCCCACACCCCCAAATCTGTTTAGCAATGTCTGAGTTGTCACAGTCTGAGGGGGTAGGGGTGTTATGCATCTAATGGGATGCATCAGGGATGCTGCTAAATATCTTACAAAGCACAGGACATCCCTGCACTCGGAAGAATGATGTGGCCCAGAATGTCAATAGTGCTAAGGTCTAGATGTGAGAACAAATTTAAAGAACATATAGGGGATATCTGAGCAAGTTAAACCTGAAGACACAGGCAAATAAATCCACAATGAGACATATCCTACAGGAAACCTGTAGACTGTTAAAATGTAATTTAAGATTAAAAAA